AAATTTAGGGGCAGTTGAGAAGCTTGCAATTTTCCTTGAAATAATTTGATTGATGATGTTTTCTGGATACACATTTTCTTGTAAAATAGATTTAATTGTCTTCAGTTTAAAATCTAGTTTAGATTTTGAACAGATAACTAGAGCCCGATGGACTAAAGTAGCAATAAGGTTCGTTTAGCGACTTTTAGAACTGAAAGAATCCCATCATGTGTATTGTCTTGTAAAGGTAGGTTTTCTGTATATACTGGTGAGAAAATGAAAGTCATCTTTTTCAACTAAGATGTCTAGGAACGGTAAAAAGTTATGTTGTTCCTTTTTCGAAAGTAAATTTGAGAGCTGAGTGCAACGAGTTGAGGTCTTGTAAGAAAGACTCACATTCCTGTTCAGTTTTAAAAATGGCAAATGTGTTGTCTACATAGCGGAAGTAAACAGCAGGTCTGTTAACTTTGTTGAATAGTTCTTATTCATGGAAATCAATGAAAATATTGACTAAGGCAGGTCCAAGAGGAGAATCCATGGCAACTCCGTCAATCTGTTGATACATGATATCATTAAAGCTGAATTCCACCAAACGTGTTGCAGTATTCATCAGTTCAATAAACAGGTCCTTAGATATTGGAGGGCACTGAACTTCTCCACCATACAAAGTATCTGCACAAATTTTGATGGTTTCTTCCAGGGTTACATTAGTAAACAGGCTGCTGATTTCGAAGGAGCACAAAAATGATTGTTTAGGGTCAAAGGCTAAGGTTCTGTATGGTTGTAGCAAAAGAAAACGAGTCTTGGATACAGTTTTCTGAAAAGTACGTTAACACCTCTTCTAAAATTTTCGAAAGCCACTTCGCTAATTCATGTTGTGCAGAGCCAATCATAGACAAAATCGGTGGGAGTGGTACATCCTTTTTGTGCATCTTAGGAAGGCCATACATGCGGGAACGTTGTGAGCCCACGGGCCTAATCCGGTCATAAATATCACGTGGTAAGGAACCTTTCTTAACCAGTAGAAGTAGAACTGTGCATCTGAAAGTCCTGTAATATTACCATCTCACAGATAGTCAGTTTTAGGTGTCAGCCACACTAGCAAATCACCACTTTCAACTGAACTGCTAAGTAAATACATAAAGTCTGCAGACAGTGATATAGCAATATGTTGCAAATAACATGGTTTAGATGTAGAGATATCAAGTATATAGACAATAGTATGACATTGTAGGGTAATAAAAGATTATAAATTTTGCTTCTGCTGCTTTTGCAATACCTGAAAATGGTTTGCATGATATTAAATAAAGCATGATATAAATAAAGCATGATATTAAATAAAGCATGATATTAAATAAAGCATGATATTAAATAAAGCATGATATAAATAAAGCATGATATTAAATAAAGCATGACATTAAATAAAGCATGATATAAATAAAGCATGATATTAAATAAAGACATTTCACTCATTATTTACCCATTACGTTAGTTTTTCTGTTTAAAACAAAGCATAATATTTATGAAATTATAGAATAGAATCTTTAAACACAACATTTCAAGATGAATGCAAGATTTCTGCTACATACTTCTCAGAAAGATTACATCTTTTTCCATTGAGTCTTTCCGTAAAGCAATAGCTATTCTCTGAATTTCTGCCCAAAGCTGGTTTTCATTAGGGAATAATTTAAACCTGGGGCAACAAAATAATACACAGTTATTAAAATAGTAAGTAGGACTTCATTCTATCATAGATAAGTACAAAATAGAATAAATTAACAATGAATGCAATCTAAAATATCTAAAAACAGCAGCAAATGTGAAATGACTGCAAAATAAAATATTGTATACATCAATTAAAAATGATGTTTACTCTTTTAGATGTATTAAATATTCCTACCGTTTGTTATGTGTAAACTAAATATGTTAAAATACGACACCCCCATTTTTGATTTTTTAAGTGAATTTAATACCACTTCTATTATTCTCATAAAATTGGAATTCCTTGAAAAAAAAAAGTCACATTAATACACTATGTAAATTAAATATACTTGATAACTGTTCATACTGAGTTGTTAATAATGTATTTGAACACTGTCAAAAGAAGTATCTACCTCAAACCTGAAACAAATATTTTCCTACAACTTTAACAGTTCTGTAAATGAAAGATACTAATTTATATATACAAATCAGATATACAGTTCAAGCTAGTCAATAATATAGCTTGTAGAAACAATATTACTATTTATAGTCATTTCAAGTAAACCAATAGTTTATATGATATGCTTCTAATTCATTACATCTTGATACAAATATAAAAGTTGAAATATTTCACTTTATTTAACTTACATTTCTTCCAAATTGAAAGCAGCTTCCTTGATATTTCCTAGGTCTTTTGCCATAACATATGCTTCATACTTTAAAAAATAAATCAATAAACATAATAAGTTATTTACCCATCTCAGTACACATAAATACATGAAAACTGTTCAGGTGGAAGAATGCTAATTTTTGTTGGAAGTGCCAAACAGTCATAAGTTCTGGGTTATATATCAACTGGATAATTAGTGAGTCCTACCAAATTCTCTCCTTACAAAGTAATGTAGCAACAGTTGAAACTCTCAGTTAGTCCAAATAACTCAGTCAGTTAAAGAATATTGTCTGGTAAGCTTGGTCAAATACTGTCGTGTCTCAACTTCAAAATATTTGTAGCTAAATGTTCACCGACAAAAATAATAAACATCTCAAAACAAAACAATTAATAACTGTTTAAATAAAAACCATTTAACAGACCTTCAAACCAAGAACGAAAACTAAAGAGTTAATGAATATAAAATACTAGAATATCAAAAATTTATATAAACCTAAATACTTAATATCAGTTCATCACTCTTAGAATTTTCTGAAGTAAACAATAAAGAAGTTTTCACTTATTAAACAATCTTGTGTTCTATCTACAACAGTACTTGAAACTAAGAGTTAGTGGTTGTTTGTTCCATAAGTAACGTATATAATTACATTAACAGTGTTGGTTAGAATGTTTAATATATTTACTAAGAGTTAGTGGTTGTTTGTTCCATAAGTAACGTATATAATTACATTAACAGTGTTGGTTAGAATGTTTAATATATCTACTAAGAGTTTGTGGTTGTTTGTTCCATAAGTAACGTATATAATTACCTTAACAGTGTTGGTTAGAATGTTTAATATATCTACTAAGAGTTAGTGGTTGTTTGTTCCATAAGTAACGTATATAATTACTTTAACAGTGTTGGTTAGAATGTTTAATACATCTACTAAGAGTTAGTGGTTGTTTGTTCCATAAGTAACGTATATAATTACTTTAATAGTGTTGGTTAGAATGTTTAATATATCTACCTTTATTACTTTCAATTATATTTCTTATTATAAAACTTTTATTACGGAGATTGTTTTGTATTATTTGGTAAATATATGCATTTAGGACTAACTTAGATTTCCTAGGCTGGCCAAACCTTGTGATATTATTGGGATCATGACTGAAAATTTTTTAACAGTGAGGGTACAGAGACGAAACCTAATCTTTATAAGTAAAAATGTAAGAGAAGCATATTTAATCAAGTACACTCATAAATATGTTGAATTTTTTAGTTTCATTTTTAAGTAGCTTCCTCTAACTAGATGTTAATATTCCTTACTTTTTTAATTTTCTTGCTTGACATTATTAAACAAATACACTATTGAAGTTCCATTTTATTTGTTAGTATAATCGCATGCATAACTACTGGATAGGAAACAAGCAAAAAAATGAAATACCTGCACAGAAAAGTTGTTTGGAAAAAGAGTCTTTGCAGTTAACATCCATGCCTGGGCAGTATAAGAATCAGAGCTCTGATAAGACTTAGCTTTTTTAATCATATATGTTGCATCAGAACAATCCTCGTTAGCCTGGATACGGCTCCCACTACAAGGCATCATATTTGCTGATTTCTATAAATATGTATATATTAAAAGTTATTCTTCACATACATTTGTTTCTACATAAAGAAATGTAAAACATTTTATAAAAGTAGAAAAAATTACAACTACTCCCAAAATGGACTTCTTTTGAGTTTTGCACTGTTGTAATTCTCCTGTTTATTTAGTTCCAAGTGTTTCCAGTAATTTTTAAATGCTTATGTAAAGCAGAATGTTTAGCTAATAGGTTGATTAGTTTATGTAATATCAACATAACATTGCCTGCTCATATAACTGTTCAATGACCTTGATATCTTCGTAGCATAAACAAATTCAATAATTCTCAACAGTAATACCTCAAAAACAATGAAATATTCTAGACTATAGTATTTATTTTTCCTGTGGAATTTTGATAACAAGAAAAAAAAAGCTGTCAACTACTTATTGTACTCTCACATATGGTTATAAACAGTGAAATATAAATTATATATGTTTAATAGTGTTATAGATATTAAAATCTTTACTATTACTGTATGCACTCTATGAGCACAATAACAGCATACTGAATATTCTTGCAGAAAGAAGAACTTTGAAATTGTAAATTTTAACAATTTGATTGTGAATTAGCAAAATTAGTAAATAAACTACTAATTTGCCCTTTGATATCAAATTCTCTGAAGATTAACATGTTATGCCAAACAAAATAATAATTACTATTATTATTAAGACACTAAATTAAGAATGTGTTGCAAGGTAAACATTAAAGATGTTTGGTTATTTGCAATTTAACACTCATCACTCTTATTTTTAGTATTACCAGAATAATAAGTTATTCACCTCTTGTTCAGATGTCCCAAGATTAAACCTTATGTGTCTAAAAACTTAGAATATTATAGGCTTAAAATGGCATGTACTATACTGAATACAGCCACCTACAACAACAGTACATGTATATTTCAGCTTACAGTACACAATTTTCTTCTTTGCCCGACTTTCAGTTTCACTCTTATGTCTCTACTTTTCAGTGTTTTCATACGGTCTATCGTAACATAACCTTTTGTACTTAAGTTTTGACTATTCAAATTATTGTATTAATACAGTTTACATTTGCCACAATATTATCCAATTACAAAAGTTTTGTTTATGTAAAAAAATACATTTTTATTCACTCGAATGAATCCTCATAACGAAACACACTATCACAGGAATGAACTAACGCCGTCTATACAACGCTTAAAACGTATGTATATATATTTTTTTCTACATTACAAATATTAATAAAGTGCTATATGTTTGGTCCATAAAATTTCATTTTGTAAAAGTGATGCATTAAAAGATCATACGTTTACAGAAATGTTATCATAAAAACATTTTTCTGAACTCAATAAATCCATGCAATAACGAAACATACTTTAATTAAACATATGCGACTCACAGTGACAACCTTAATAATCTTTAAATATTTTATTTTATATTTACCTGATGGTTCATCTACTGAGATTTGTAGGTCATTATTGTCTACTCAAATTATTGTAATAATGGTTTTATTGGTGCTATTTAAATCATTTGTGTATATTTATAAGCACATTCTAACAAAATCTTATTGTGCGTATGTAGTATAGAAAGCTATTGACAAACCGATAAGACGAATTGTTATGTAAATAATTCACGTATTATTTATATACATATGCCCTATTCTTACGCTTAAAAATAATATGTGATATTATGCAAAATAATCCAATTGACAAGTAACACACGTGAACGTGTTTTCTCTACGTTCAAATCTTCACCAAATATTACGAATACAAGTAAAATGGCTAAAATTGTCACTAGCGAGTGTTGTTTTCTCGGTCTGATTTCTTCATACATATTCAGTTGAAAAATGTTTTCCATAATGAATTCAATTGAAAGCCCATATCGTTGTTTATTAGTCTGTCTGCCTTCTTGTGTATTTCAATAGCTTATCTAATATTTATTTGGTGAAATTATTATTATTATTTGCAACAACTTTCGTTTCTGTGAATTTGATTATGTGATATACATGAGCGGGGACTGCTGATTTTTCTATTTCCAAACGGAAACAATGATCTTAATATTCTTATATTTAACGACCGTTTAGTTTGACCTATGTGTATTTTGTTGCATTGGATCGAATATATTCCTTGTTTCTGGAAGCTATTGATGGAGCCTTTCCTTTTATTGAGTTTACTTGAAAGTTTTCAATAGAATTTGGTTGTTATTCAATAATGTACCTATTTTATTTGAGATTTCTGGGTAATAAGATAAACATATAGGTAGGTTTGATTTCTTTTTTGCTAACACATTGTTTATAAAACTTGTTTTTGATTTTGTAGAACAATCTGTTGATTAATTGGTATCAAATCCTCGCAATACAGCAACAAAGTAGTTAATTTCTTGTTTAATTCCTCTTAGGTTTGAGCAGTTATTGAGCATACGCCAAATTACTATTTTGTAAACACCAATTTTTGGGTTGCATGCATGGTTTTTGATAAACTTCAGTTTCAGTTGTGCCATTGGAATTTCTTGTGATTAAAACATCTAGAAAGACGATTTTATTATCACTTTCGGCTTCTTAAGTGAACTGTGTGGAAGAGTCACAGGAATCTAATAGGTCACGAAATTTCCTTAACCAGCAGTTGTCATTGGGTATAGCAATGAATGTGTCATTTACATAGTGTGTGTAGAAATATGATAAAATAATAAGTAACACATAATTGTAAAATGGGTAAACCTTTAAAAACATTTTAAATATGGCCAAACTATGACCACAAAAAAGTTAACTCTACACGTTTCGACGTTATAACGTCATCTTCAAGAGTGATTTGCAAGACATAATCGTGTTTTATTTATACTTTTTTTGTTGTTAAATAGGTCGTATGACCTATGTACAGGTTTACAATTCCCGCGTGAACTTTTCAGAGAAGGTCAAAACAAAACATTTATCAAATGAAATAGTCTCCATTCTTAACGATGATGCTTTTCCATCTTACAATCAGGTTGTTAAGGCTCTTCAGGTCATGATCAAATTTCTTAAGGCTCTTCTTGGTATTCTGAAGTTATTAATAATTAATAACCAATTTTGTAGTTTATACTTTAACTCATTGACTAAATTTCTCAGTTATAAACATTGGATGTCTAAATAGTATAATTTCCTTGAGTTGCAAGACATAATCGTGTTTTGTTTATACTATTTTTTTTTAAATAGGTCATGTGACCTATGTACAGGTTTACATAGGTTTATTATAACAAATAAATTGAATTTTGTGGGAAGCCACCCAATGTGGGTGACCCTGGGGGCAGGTTCCCCATTGTTAATCAGGCACCGAGTATACTGACTGTAAAATGATGTATTTTGTTTCATGAAATAAAAATATCACTTTATTTGAGTATATTCCAGAAACTACTTACAAACAGACAAGATTTTTAAAATTCTGTTCATATTATGGAAAACTATTAAACAAGAGCACTTATTTATATGCTTGGAATATGTGTTATTTGAGAAGTTGACACTTGTGGCATGAAGCCAATCTAATTCAGCTAAAAGAAGTACTCAAAAACACGAGCTCCACTACCTATTTTTTCCTGTTTATTTGATGTGAGAAATGTACATTTACTCAGGTCAATTACAGGACTGTTGAAACATTATTTCAATGAAAATAAACATATACAAAGCTACCAATCAAACATTTTAGATTTACATATTGTAAAGATATATATATATGTGAAATATTTTACCAGCTTTACAGAATATTTGAGCAAAAATGTGCACTTTGAAGTATACTTACATCTTATAAAAATTGATATATCAGAAATTTATGTGAACTTCAAAATTTATCTTACATAAATACAATTAAACCAAATTATCTGAAATTGGTGTACTGATATTTGTTTGTAAAATTTGTTTTACCAATAGTTCTTCATTGTTGTTTTTATACCAACACCATATAACTACGTTACATTATGTACATATTCAATACAAGATTTTTTTATTAAATACCCTAACATATCTTGCAAATTATCCCATTTTTAAATGTTTTCAACATGACAAGTATGATTACATAATTCAGTATACGAAGTACAAAATGATTGTATTTAAAAATGCAAATACAAACATCTGGCATGTATTAATGTCATCAAATGTGAAATGTGCACATCACACACTGTATGTTTATAAACACACTGATGTGACACATGACTTTGTACATAAAGTAAACTTACTCTCAAAAGTTCCAAATAGAGAACAAATTCAAGCAGCTACGAAGACACACACAATAAATATTTACTTCTGGTACAGTTAACATTTTACGAGTACAGAGACAATAAGATGCACTTAATGTAATTTCCAAACATGGTATGATGAATGACATAAGTTATGGTAGTGGAGTCAAATGTACACTGAACGTAAAAGTATTTCTAATCTAATAAAATGTCAACTAGAAATATCACATGTATAACGAATACTGTTTGAAATTTGGTTCTAACTGTTGTTAGTTTAAACTTAATAGAAAAAACAAAACAAACTAAAAGTTATTGCAGTAACCTAGTTTTTTTTTTATTAGTAGTAAGTTACTTAATGCTAGTTGAAGTAGAAATATGTAGATTCTTGAGAAAACAAATAAACTGAAACAGTCATCCTTATTTAATGGGGGGTGATAAATAAAAATTGATAAAGTACTTTTTCACTTTCAGCCCTCTTCAGGCTTAATGAACAAACAATACTTTAGAACATTTAAAATTAGAGAATCACAATACTGAATGCAGTCAAAAGAATGTGTTCTGTATTGTTTAAACAATGATGCTACAGAAGTTTAATTATATAGAACTGAGATAAATTACTTATGAAAGAATGCAGGAAAAATTTTAGAGAAAAGTAGAGAAATTTTATATTTAAGACTTCGATTTTGTTCCTGCAAAAATGATAGATATTGGTCCAAAAATATGATTCAAAACTAGCTTGTTTTCATTGAGTTACTTCACCGTTATCAATGTTAATACTGAGAGAAAGACCCTTCATATTTATTTAGAAACATCAGTAAGCTAAACAGCTGAAGGTTTTGCAATGTTCAATACATATAAAATGTATTACGAACTCATACAAAAGTTGACATTTTATTCCCACCACACGAAGGGTTTGAAAGACATTTTAGTTGTGATATTTTTCAAAAAATAACTAAAAAGACATTCACGGAATTCTAACTTCATTATAAACAAAATATATATATAAATTAATAATTTATCAAATTTTAAAGGCCCTACTTCTACAGCAGGAACAAAAAAAAAAGAGAGAGAGAAAGACACAAGACATTACATAAGCAAGTAATCCATGAAACACCAGTGCAGTGAAACCATTTCTTGGCCTTGTACGTTACTGTTGCAGAATTCTCTATGAATAGCTATTCCGTTACACAGAGTTACGTAACATTTAAGAAATGACCTCTGGACAAAAACTGTCTATGTGGGTTTAATGAATATTTTGTAAAGTTTCAGTTCAGAGATATTTATTTTAGAAGTTTTAGGTAGTTCACTAATAAACAGAGTAATGAACCCTTGGGAACTGATAAAATGACACTTTCCATTTCATGTGATAATGAAAATCCTAACTCTATTAAAAAAAAAGAAGTTTCTATATTACCAAAAATCATAACTGAAATTGAGATGAACTTAAGAAACAGAAAATCAGAAACATTAACTTGCATTAAAGGCTGAATTTAAAGCTGCATTCATAAGACAACCAAACTGGAAACCACTACATATTTCTTTACACTGTGTTCTCAAACTTATCAAATGCATGAGAAAACACAGAAGCAGGTTAACTCAATACTTACCAATGTTTCATTTAACCGTTTATCATTCATAGCAGGTTAACACAATACTTACCAATGTTTCATTTAACCGTTTATCATTCATAGCAGGTTAACACAATACTTACTAATGTTTCATTTAACCGTTTATCATTCATAGCAGGTTAACACAATACTTACTAATGTTTCATTTAACCGTTTATCATTCATGGAAGAGTTTTGTCCATTACCGTAATTGGCGTAAATATATGGGTGGAAATGATGTAAATATATCGATGGAGATGATAAAAGGTTAAAAAACACTGGGTTATTACCTCTTCTGATTATTTCCTTTTAATCATTTCATGTGTAATTTTAGTTCAAATATTGGTCTTTTACATTTCAATAAACTATTTTTTTAAATAAATCAGCTGTTCTGTTACACGACGTTTTGAAAAGTGGCAAAACATGAAGTGCGCATTAAGTTAATATTTTATCATGAAAATATCATAGTTAGGAGTTATTTCTTTGTAACAATACATATAAATTTTTTATGATATGCACCATATTTTGTAAAAATAACTTTTCATTCTATCTTTCCTTGTATGCATGAGCATCAGACAAGTTTTAATGTCCTATCGCGGAACATTAATTTTTGATAAAATAAAACGCTATTGTATCCCAGTTTTGGCAATTAATTTGGGTTATATTAGAAACAGTAACCTGTAACAGGTTCTGAAGCAGTTATATCTTAGTTTGATAATTAATGGTTAATTTTAGGAGGTTATGCATTACCCCTAAAACAAAAACTTAATCTTTACGTTACTAAAGATTACAGATATATACTACAAAAAAATTCCATAAGAAATAAACATGCCAAGAAGCAGATAGCAACAAAGTACAACCATATAAAGAATGAGAAAACTGTATATAAAAGTGACAATATTGTACTAGAAACAATCCACTATCATCATCTGTATATTTCTACAAAATTAAAAAAAAAATGTACATATAGGGATCAGCAAAACAAACACAGATCGGTAAGTTAAACTGTAATTCATATTAATCTTCTTGTACTTTCATTAGGCAAGAACAATGGCACATCTCCGAGTTGCTAAGTAAAGTAATATTTTATTTGGACAATACTTTTCAATGTTTGGAATCCCTGAGGTAATCTGTTATTAAGTGTGGGAACTCCCATTTTTGTTGAATACTCTTGTTTCCACCACAGAAAAAAAAACACTTCCTACCATTTAAAAGGCAATAAAAAGTGACAGAAGGCCTTCTACATATAAAACCAATAATTCCTGTACAATTACACAGAAATACCCCCCCATATGATTATGGAGTAATCCTAATAAACCTACCATATAGGGAATGAAAAGTGATAGTAACAGCAATAACCATGCTGGTAATGAAGTTCCTGTCAAACTGGAAACCTACATCTACACAATATACCCCAGTTTTCTTTCATACTCACAAATATTGATCATGAAAAAAGTTAAATATTCATGACAAAAGATCATCCATAAACACTTTTTTATTCATCCTCAGACACCATAACTATGAAAAGTGAAGATATGATAGCTGTAATGTCAGCCTGACAGCAGT